GAGTATGAGAAGCAGGTGAGGATGAGCCCTCTTTCTGTGACTTGTTGTCTCTGTCGCCACATGGCAGTGACCTTCCTTGGATTCTTGTTTCAGTGGGCTCAGTGGCCTTGCCCATTCCCTATAGCTAACATGTTTCTGCACTTTGTAGCTGGAGAAACTGAAGAACATAATTCCCTTTGACCAGATGACCATTGATGACTTGAATGAGATCTTCCCAGAAACCAAGCTAGACAAGAAGAAGTACCCGTACTGGCCCCATCAGCCCATCGAGAACCTATGAAGCAGCCCAGGAGGCAGCCCCAGCTGACATGAAATAAAATATTTACATAGTGCTGGCTATTGTCTCTAAGTAGATAAACACTTCTGAGGTGGCCCCACCAGAAGTATTATGTGAACCTTCCTCTAAGGGGCTGACAATAGGAGCCCATTTACTGAGACTTCAGGGTGCTGGAGCTTGAACAGCAGAGGCTGTGACCATACTATGGGGAGGATATTGTCCTCTGCTCTCTATGTGTGTCCTGGCTCCTACATCATACACACAAACAGAAACAGTTACAGTGCTGGAGAGAGACCCCTAACTCACCTATCACCTGTGACCAGTACACAATGCTGAGTCTTGGGAATCTCCTGTTGTCACAAGCATCAGGATTGTAATGAGAATGACATGGCCTGGGAAGCTTCTAAGTATCTAAGCATCCCTATGTCACCTGCTGTAGCTTAAGGGTTTGCATACTCAGACCAGAAGGAGCAGCAGGGGCTGGCTGAGTATCAATCTGGTGTCCCCAGTCTGTGGGTAGGGGCTGGGTGAAGAAGCCATAGCTCCTCAGTGGGGTGCCGATGCCGTGGCTTAGGGCTAATTGGTACTCTGCTGTTGTGGACATTAAAGGCATAGCTACGTGTGAGCATCTGTGAACTCCAGGGAACAGACCTCTGCTCCCTTCTATGTTGGCGTAAATCCACTTTAGGAAACATTGTATTGTTTTATCAGTCTTAAATGTTCTTGCCTCAGAAAATTCTAGAAACTTGCTGTTGCACTTCCAAGAAAAGAAGCAACAAAACAGCCAAGTGTTAGGGTGGCCTCTAACCCCAGCACTAGGGAGGCAGAGGCAGGTGGATTTTCTGTGGATTTGAGGCCTGCCCTTTCTGCAAACAAATCTTGCTAAAGGAACATAGACTGAAGCAGGAAACCGAGGACATTGACGCATCTTTATGAAGGAAACAACTATTGAGTTAAAAGAACAGACCTTTGCCAACCTCCGGAGGCCATGCTTTTGCCCCATCCCTGGTGACACCCTCACACCTTGGCAATGTGGCTTACCCCCCAACCTTTTCTCCACCCTTCCCCTCCATCACTGTAAGGGTTGTGAGGGCTGTGTATGGCAGCACGGAGTGCCGGGGTGAGAGGTACTCTGCACTGCTCAGGTGGCATCCAAGGGTATATTCTCTTGCTGGAACAGCTCAGCAGCTGGAGAGGATGAAGTGGGGCATTTTTCCCTGGTGGATTGGTTCACTCAAGAGTTAAATAGACACATAAATATATGATTTAAGTTGCAAACCAGACATGATGACACATGCCTACAATCCCAGCACTCAGGAGGCTAAGGTGAGTGGCTATCACAAAAGTATATCTAAAAGAAACAACAGGAAACATTTGCCATCCGATGGGACTCTGAACTCCAAATCCCTTTCCAGGGCCTTAGACATTAGGCCACTAGAACTTCTGGGACGCAGTCCTTTATAATTCACCTCTTAAAAGGAAATTACTGACATCACAACTGAAGGTCTTCAGTGCCAATTGTAGACAGTAAGAGTCTACCTGGGTGTTTCAATTTCCTATTAAGGCCAGGGGACAATTTAAGGCTATTCGAAAGGTAAGTTTCAATTGAGAGGAGATCCATCGGGATGAAAATATTTCGACCACGAAGGGACTCGAACCCTCAATCTTCTGATCCGAAGTCAGACGCCTTATCCATTAGGCCACGCGGTCTACCTAACTTAGTAGCTTCACCGGAACGTATTGTTTGATGAAATGCAGGCGCTGCTCCGACAACGGGTAATGTCTGTGGCATCTGTAACTTCCGAGCGGCGGCGTTTAGGAGCTGGCTTGGCAGGGAGCTCATCCAACTTCGGTCAGTTTGAATCCTCTCTGGTCAGCCCCTGAGCCCGCGGGTTGGATCGCGACCCTCTTCCGTCTCGCAGCACTCCTCGATGTCGTCGTCCACGATGTCGCAGCACCACGGTATCATCGTCCGGCTTTTCTCCGGATCGGCGAGATATTCGTGACAAGTCCCCAGGCCAGAGCGGAGGCGCTCAGTCACTGTTCCGGGATAGTGTTGGTCACGTCAGCGCGTCGCGCTATCACGGACCACGTGAACATGACTTTTTATCGCGCCCCAGTGGCCTAATGGATAAGGCACTGGCCTCCTAAGCCAGGGATTGTGGGTTCGAGTCCCACCTGGGGTGGTGCTCCCTTAATTTTGGAGACAGAATCATGCGTGTACTTCCTCCTGCTGGGTCAGGCTGTTGGTGATCATTTAGCTCGCTCTGTAAGCTGTGCACTCCACAAGGCCCACAAGGCTGCGCTGTGGTTTTGTACCCTAGTTCTTCCAATGCCGCCCCCATGCCGAGCATGCGCGTCTTGAAGGTTAGTATGGCCTCCATTCGTCTTAGGTGAGATCAAAAACAAAACAGACCTTTTTACCCCAGGTGGGACTCGAACCCACAATCCCTGGCTTAGGAGGCCAGTGCCTTATCCATTAGGCCACTGGGGCCCACAGCACGTGGCTCTCGCCTTTTCCATTCTAATGGGTTCACGACTATACCTCTGCCTGCTCCGACTTAAAGGTGTATTTTTGTTGTTGACCCGAGGAGAAGCTGGGACCTGTACTAAAACGCCCAGGCTATCTAGTGTACAGCGGGAACAGGGTAGATAGAGCCTAGGGGTTGCCTTGAGGTCGCCTGCTCATCTGGACGTGGATTGCGTGAAAGTTTTGGGGCGTCAATTTTCTACCCCTCCCCCTCCCCCCCAGCGCTATTTTGTCCCTTTGTACATCTTTAAAGAACTGAGAGTGAAACAAGAAAGGACGACAAATATCAGTCATAATATTGTCAGTATTGAAACATGAGCACTGAAAATCTTCCCGATCCTTCCAGTAACGATAGATCCATTCAGGCACTACTATATCCTTTGCAAATAAACGTGCAATACATGGATGGGCGGGCGTCAAAGGGGCAGGAAGAGAGGAAAACGACAGACGAGACCGCTAGCTTAGCATTGTAAAGTTAAAACGCACTTAAAAAAAAAAAAAAAACAGAGGGAACGGAAGCGCTGAGCACTCTGGGAGGTATAGCCTAGCAATGGCTTCGTGGTAGGTGTAGAGGTTCTGGGAAAGGGCTGAGGCTTGAAAGAAGGTACCTATGGTTTTTAACTATGTAACTGAGCACAGGAAGCATTTGTTTAATGAATGACTTATCCGTGTGGAATAATTGGTCCCTGTGGTTAATCCTAACAATTCCCTGCTCTGTTTCTCAATGCTGACTTCACTGACCTCTGCAACAGGGGAGTGGGGGAGGGGGAACATGCTTGGAGCTAAAGCGGAAGTTTGAAAGCATTTGGAGCAATGTAGAGATTGGACAATTGTAGGAAGCTGTGAAGGAGGAGCTGCTGGGATCAGCGATGTCCTGGGGAACTGCTAACAAGATTAATAATGAAATTGTTATATAAACTTCCCACCCAAGTCCAGTGACAGCTCATATCACGTTGGAGGTATTAAATTTTAGGCACGGATTCTCTTGCACGCCAGAACCCTGGAGCAGAATATGATGACGACAAACCAAATATATCAAATTTCCATGCAATCCAACACAATGTTTCACCTCCTATAGATGACTGACTCCTGCCTGACACAAATGATGCTCAATTTTCAAGCTAATGTGGAATCCAAATTCTCGTTTGTCTCTGGGAAATTTGACCAGGGCAAAGCTTATTAAGAAAATTTAAGTTAGCTGGGCGGTGGTGCCGCACGCCTTTAATCCCAGCACTTGGGATGCAGAGGTAGGCGGATTTCTGAGTTCGAGACCAGCCTGGTCTACAGAGTGAGTTCCAGGACAGCCAGGGCTACACAGAGAAACCCTGACTGGAAAAAAACAACGACAACAAAAAATTAAGTTATATTTGTGTGTGCACATATATGTTTCACGGAGCTTGTGGAGGTAAGAAACCAACTCCCATGAGTCAGTTCTCTCCTACCACGGAGGTACCAGGGATTGAACTTGTGACAGTCTGGGCAGCAAGGTCCTTTCTCTGGCCTTCACTTTTGGTTTTAAAAATAAATACATTTGGGAGTTGGGGGGCAAGTATAATAAACAACCTTCTGGGGCTGGTGATATGGCTCAGCAGATAAGGGGCTTGTGGCCAGGCCTGATTGCTCCTTGGAACCTACGTGGCGGAGGAAGAGAACTCCCACAAGTTGTTTCTGACCACCAGACATGCATACCTCACCTGATAATAAATATCTAGAGAGTGAAACGGCTGGGCAGGGGAAAATCTTTGCCCTTTAGCCTGAGACTTGAGTTCCATCCCAGGGTGGAAGCAGCGACTCTGCTAGATGCTCCCTAACCTCTGCCTGTGCATGTGACACACCAATATCCACCCAGTGTACACATAAGTAACTAACCCCTAAACTCCTGGCTTGGAGATGCAGTTCGATGGATTCTGAGGCTCCTACGTGCCTACCTGCCCGGTACACCACTCAAGTCTCCTGCAAGATCTATCATTAGGCATTCTGGTTTCCCAGTGACCTCCTGCCACCCAGCGTCCTCCCAGCCCAGTGTTCTCTTTCTGAAGGTCCAGCTCAAATGCCTGCTCACCAATCTCGGCCCTCGTAACTGTGCTCCTTGTGGACCGACCCACAATCCTCTGTTGCTGTATGTGCTCAACTCTAAGGTGGGTTTAGACGGAGAGGTAAGTGTCCTGTGCAAAGCTCTCACTGAAAAAAGGCTCCTGTGCTTACAAGTTTATTGCAGCCAGTAATTCACTAGGTGGATAATGGAAGGAGCTGCCCTGGAAGACCTGCAGCCTTCCCGCCAAAGGAACGTTCTAGCAGGGCTCCAATTAATCAAAAAAAGTCTCCCGTGGTGTGTCAGCTCCCTGCTGAGCTGCACTGACACTATGGTCTTTGCCAGCAGGGTGGGGTGACTTCAGTCCATAGTCATCCTCCTGCTTGTCTTTATGGCAGAGTTTAGTCTTTTCTGTCGTAGCCTTTCCCGATTCATCTTTTCAACCCTGAAAACAAAGGACAGCAAATGAGGCCCAGATGTGCAATCAGTGCTTTTCAAAGCTGGAAGCTGAGGGGAGCAGAGCAGTCCAGTCAGCAGGAGCCAGAGGTGTACCTGGGCCTGCACCCTGCTCCGCTTAGCAGCTTCCCCACTGCCCCTGCTGGAAGCTTCTGGACTCCCAGCCCTCTCACCTGCCCAGCCCTGGTCCCTACGAACCTGCTGCTGCCAGGGTGTTTCTGTACCTGAGTCTCTGAAGCCGGGCATCTTCTTTGGATGGCTCCTTGGGCACCTGGCTGGCCATGGCAATCATGTCTCGAATTTTCTGTAGGCATTCTGCCAGATTACGGAACTGATATCGGCTGCTCTCAGAGGTAAGTACCAGCTCTCCTGCCTTGTTGATCTTATTTTTATGCTGCCAAGAAGGGAAATGAGGAACACCCGAAAGGCCCACAAGCCTATGCCTCCCCCAGGGATCCACAGGGACAGAAAGGGGTAGGTACCGTGAGGGCAATCTTCTGGCGCACAGGCTCTGCAATCCAGTCTGCACTGGCCAAGTGAAACCTTACTTCAGCCTTGGAATTCACTGTGGATGGGGAGGGAAGAGCATTGATCCTGAGACTCTTAGGATGCCACAGTGCCCAGGCCTCAGCAATAGTCCTGAAGCCACGGACAGCCAACCATCTAACCAGGAACATTCTAGCCTATGTCAAAACTGGCCATGGAACAAGCCTGCAAGGCTAATGAGGCTCTTCAGTATAAATTTCTAGTTTGCAAATACTTCTAGTACTTGAGTTTCCTGGGCTCTTCCTCACATTTTACTGGACTCTGAAAAGAGCAGGGGATGGGTTTCTCAGGAGCCAAAGGAACCTGTTCCCCATGGACCAAGCAGGCTGTCCTCCCATGCTGTGAATTCTCTTTGTTCACCCTCAAAAGCCAGTCCTAGTCTTAGCAATCCGCAGCTGAGAAGCAGACAATCGCACATTCAGAAGAATAGAAAGGATTATTCTAAGCTGGAGGTGTATGGGCTGAGCAGAAAAACCCCTTTATTCCACAGGAATGTGGACACAGAGTTGCTGAGTTCCCTTAAAGTGACAAGGTGCCAGTACCTTTGTTAACGTTCTGCCCCCCAGGACCGCTGCTCCGGCAGTAAGATATGCTTAACCGATCTGTGAAATGAAAGAATACACACAAGAGGATTCCCCCATAGCCGAACGTGTAGACTGCTAAGGGCTAAGTTAGTCAACGTGACTGTTCACACACACACACACACACACACACACACACACACACACACACACACAGGAGCTACAGATCAGTAAAACTAGACAGTATTCACAGATGTCAAAGCTAAAATCAGGACGACTGACTGTCCCAAGGCCTCCCAGAGTGGGAGAAGCACAATTATGGCCCAAGTCTAGCATATTCTAACAGATTCTCTTGCTCTGAAGAGGCTCAGGCTTGGGGACAGACTTAGTTTCACACAGTTCACCGCATGGTGGCTATGGAATCAGAAGTGCTAGAAGCTGGAGGATAAGCAGAGGTGGAGGAAGTGTTCCTAGAGCTGCCGCTTGGAGCTGAGGGAGCGGAACTGTGGAGGCTGACTTAGATGACACAGTAAGTCAGGGCTAGCGCGTATTGTTTCTGGCTGTGTGTTCTCAGGGCCTAGCTCATAGTCTGGGTTGAAATTATTTGTTGAATTGGACCTTCACCCTGAAGGTAGGCAGTGTGGCCACTAACTATAAATCTACAGCTTGTTTCTTGTTTGTTTGTTTTGTATAAGAGTAAACCGTCCTCAGACACACCAGAAGAGGGTGTCAGATCCCACCACAGATGGTTGTGAGCCCTGAGTTGCTGGGAATTAAAATCAAGACCTCTGGAAGAACAGCCAATGCTCTTAACCGCTGAGCCATCTTTCCTGCTCTCTTGTTTGTTTTTTTTTGTTGTTGTTGTTTTGTTTTGTTTTTCGAGACAGGGTTTCTCTTAATAGCCCGGGCTGTCCTGGAACTCACTGTGTAGACCAGGCTGGCCTCAAACTCAGAAATACACCTGCCTCTGCCTCCCAGGTGCTGGGATTAAAGGCGTGCGCCACCACTGCCCGGCTTGTTTGGGTTTTTGAGATAGGATTTTTCTATGTAGCCCTGCCTGTCCTGGAGCTCACTTTGTAGACCCAGGCCAGGATTTTTCTACGTAGCCCTGCCTGTCCAGGAGCTCACTTTGTAGACCAGGCTGGCCTTGAATTCAGAGATCCACCTGCCACAGGCACCCCAGACAGCTGCAGGCTACAAATCTGCCTCTATGCAACAGCACCTTGGCTCTGTGGCCACTGGGTATCCTATGTGTTGGAAGTCTCTGTTTCGGTGTCACCATAAACAAGGACCATGGAGAGATACATCTTTGCCTATCCTGGGCTATATAGTGAATTCCAAGATAGCCTGAGTAACATAGTGAGACCATGTCTCACAAAGACCCCAGGCTGTTGGAGTTCAATGCTTTCTAGACCACACCTGTGAAGCCCTGTCCCTGTTCGGCAAGTACAGAACTTGTAGTCTGTTTGTCCTAAGACAGGGTCTCATAGAGCTCAAGCTGTTCTTGAACTTGCTATCGAGCCAAGGCTGGTCTTGAACTCCTGATCCTCCTGCCTTCATTTTTAAAGTGATGGAATTAGAGACACATACCACCACACCAAGCTTTGACAGAGAATTCTAAACTTATTCAATGGGGGAGCCTCTAACGCCTGTCACCTGGTTGCCCAGTTTCCTTTTCTTTCTTTTTTTCTTTTTAGATAGGATTTCAAAACAAACTTCAGATGGCATGGAACTCACCATAAAGCATGGCTTCAAACTTACAGCTATCCTGCTGCCTCATCTCCTGAGTGTGTGGGGTTTCAGCTTTGCTGACCACATGCAGCTAGTCTTTCTTTTGTTCTCTGAAGACCTCTGTCCAACAATGTTTTGTTGTTTTTAGATCTTAATGTTCAACCATGTCCAGCCCTATAGACAGGTTTTATATGCCTTTCTGGAAACATATCTAGATAGCAACAGGACTATGGAATAGAGAGATACAGACTCAATAGTCTGAGGAGCACACAGGGTGGCTGGTCCACACTCTTGAACCTTCCTTCTTCCCACATCATTCAAGCATTACATCATGAAGACAGTTCCACATCATATGTGTGGTAAGCAGTGTGGTCCACGTCTGTGGCCACACCACTGTTTATTCGCTATCTAAGCTATGCAGCAGAGTGTCCTTCTACACCCACAGCTTGTCTCTCTGTCTTTCAAGGGTCTGGAGAGATCTGGAAGGAACACGTAAGAAATTTGGTGAATGGCTCTGTGTGTGAGTGTGTGTGTGAGTGTGAGTGTGTGTGTGTGTTGCTTGGGGCTAACCCCAGGGTCTCTCTCATGCTAGGCAAGTACTACCACTGAGTTAGATACCTAGCCTAAAATGTCTGATTTTCAATAAAATTACTTACCTAGAGGGATGTCACTGCTGGCTTGTTTTGCATCCTCCTGTAATATGATATACATACTGTCAAGGAATGAAGTCACTTGGATAATAATATAAAGCTACAAGTCAAATGTTACAGATTTGGGGCTGAAGAGATGGCTCAGTGGGTAAAAGCACTTCCTCAAAGTCAGGCCTGACAGTTCACCTGTGGGTTCCCTGGGATCCTCGTGGTAGAAACGAAGAAGCAACTCCTGTGAGTTATCCTCTGACTCACACACTTACACACACACACACACACACACACACTCAACCATTCATACACTCACATACACTTATATACACACGCACATGCACACACATGCATACTAAATTCAATAAACACTTTTAAGAAGCTATGCATTACTGTTTTCAGGACTCCAAATCTTGCTGTCAAACCCATCCCGACTCAGGCGCTACCTCTGAAGGACTCCTCTCAGAAGATGGAGCTCATGCCTCCAGCTGTCCCTGCTCTGCCTTAAGCTATTGCTGGGTGCTCTCAGTGGCCAGACTCATGGGGAAAGGGATGGATGAGACAGGACAAAGAACACATACACGAGGGACGCTAAACACCAATACTCTCTGCCACCCTGGTACAACAATCCTAGTGGGCCGCCCTGTTCCTTCTGGTGCCCATGGGAAGCTGGCAGCAGTGGCAGTCTGCCTTGAACAGGTCCTGGTTCACCCGCCTGGAGGGCTGGTGTCAGGCCGCCTCCTCATTCAGCAACAACACCCTCCAACCTTAAATCCTCAGGACCACAAAGTCCAATACCTCCAGCCCCAGGCGCTCCTCCAGCCTCCAAGCCAAAGTGTGTCCATCTACACCTCTCCATGCCTTCATCGTTTGGTCTCTAGAACAGGGGTAGGGGTGGAAACCTCGTTCTGCTCATGCTGGTCTCTCTGAAGACTTCACTTTGCTAAGTCACCCACCCTCCTCAGGTTCCCTCTTGCCTCTTCATGCCTCTTCTGAATATTCCTTGACTAGCACTTTGGTGATGGTTGAAACTCTCATGTGCCACTGAAGTCTTTCTTCTCTTCCCGCCCCCAAATATTTCATCCTTCTAAGCTGATGGAAATGCCGTCTATATTGGTGACTCCCTACTTTTGGGCTCCAGTAAACCTCTTTGCTCAACTCCAGTCCCACAGACCCTGCTTGTTCTCACTTTATTTCCAGTCTAGTAGCAAATCCTATAGACTTTCTTCAAAAGATGCCTAGGATCTAATCATCCTCAAGACTCCTACTGCTTCCAGCCTCCTCATGCTGTCTTCCCGATATTACCGCAATCTCCTAACTCACCTTCTAGCCATTGCCATTCTCCAGGCTGCTGTCTGTAACACTGTGTAATCATCAATCTCGTAAAACTAAGTTGTATCGATCCATTCCTGGCTCCACCCACTTCTCTCCTCTTTTGTTTCCCTTCAGCAGACTGCCCTACTCAGCCACCCTTGTCCAGTATGCTACTGCTCTGAAGTGGTTGTACCTGCTCTGCTTGGGATATTCATCTCCCCAGTATTCTCACATCTTTCTTGTTCCAGGTCTTCGTATGTGACAAGGTCTCATACAAAGGCTGGCCCTGAACCTATTTTCCTGCCTCTACCTCAGGTGCTGGGGTTACAAATGCAGGCCACTGTACCCTACTTCTTCGAGGCTTTCCAAGATCACTCTACTTAAAACTTTAACTCTAAGTCGGGTTTGTTGGTCTATGCCTGCAATCTCAGTACTTGAGAGGCAGGAGGATCACTGCAAATTAGAGATCAGCCTGGGCTATAAAACAGCCTTCCTCGCAATAGGCCAGTATAGTGACACATGCCAGTAACCTTTACACTTGGGAGATGAAGGTGGAAGGATCAGGAATTCATAGCCACCCACAGCTATGTAGCAAGTTCGAGGCTAGCCTAGGTTACATGAGATCTTTTGTCAAAACAAAACAACAAACCTACAACTGTATCTCTAGCTTCACCTCTTCCTTCTGAGTCTTATTATCTCTAAAGCATCACGTTCAGTGTTACTTGGGTTTATTCATTTATTTTTGTCTGTCCCCCTGCAGTATATGAGCTCCACAGCCTCAGGAATTCTGTTTTACTACTCCCTGATCCAAATTAGCACTGTGCCAGCAACATGCTCTCAAGAAAAGTCTGAATGAGGTGCGAATGGATGAATGAAAATACTTGATGCTCTTTCAATCTTATAGGTGCTGCTCAATAGATCCCTCTTTCCTGCTCAGGCCCCATGCAGTGCGACTACATGAAGCAGGCTAAACATGGATCCTTAAGGACCACACAAGCCTTGTCTCAGGCTTCCTAACGTTACTAGAGGCAAAAGACTGGGTAACGTTCCAACTTGCGGACCTCAGCTTTTACCGTCCACTTTTAAGGTCCATCCCATAGAATGCACATCGTCCCATAGAATGTGAGCCTGAGGACCGGGAAGCAAACGTGGTTAACGCTAGTGATCTTGAAAGACGCGTATATGGCGGGCTCCTCTCCCAGGGCCTGCACGACCCGAGCCACGAGGGTTGCTATCACACCCTACAGTCCCAGCACCCCGGTTGCTAGAACGACCAGTTCCTCCCGGGGCAACCAAAACCTTCGACCCCACCTGGCTTCCTCGCGTCACCTAGCAGCGAGAGGAACCGCCCTTTCCATCCCGCCTATCTGGGCTCACCGGGACCTTCCAGGCGGTATCCACGCCCTTGGACTCGGGGTACAGCTTGTCCAGGCTGTAGATGCTCTGGAAGTTGGTGCTGTCTACCTGTCTGTGCAGAGCCCGGCGAGCACAGCGCGCGGGCGGCGGGAGCAACAAGGTTCCAGTTCGGCTCAGGCCCCAGCGTAGGCCCCAGGCGGCCGCCATATTCATCTCCCAAGACCGCTTCCGGTGCGCAATCTCCTCGCGGTCCGCCAGCCTTTGGTGAGCTCGCGACTTGAGTTCCGCCGGGTTTCTCTCGCTCCGGGATGGCCCCCTTGGCCGTGGCCGTGACGGTTGTTGTTGGTGGAGGCACCCAGCTGACATCACGTAGAGGTTGGCCAGCAGATAGAGACCACCTAAGGGAGATTCTTCTTTTTCTTTTTTCTTTTTTTTGGTTTTTCGAGACAGGGTTTCTCTGTGTAGTTCTGGGTGTCCTGGAACTCGAAATCCGCCTGCCTCTGTCTCCCAAGTGCTGGGATTAAAGGCGTGCGCCACCACCGCCCGGCTGAGATTCTTCTTTAAAAGATTCCTGTATGGGTCTAGCTGAGTGATGTTCACCAGCAGTCCCAGCACTGTACTCAAGGCTAAGGCAGGTGTGAGCCTAACCCAGTTACATAGTGAGCCCCTGTCATAAAAATAATAAATACATGGCCGGGCATAATCCCAGCACTTGGGAGGCAGAGGCAGGCGGATGGAGGCCGGCCTGGTCTTCAAAGCGAGTCCAGGTCAGCTATTATTATACAGAGAAACCTTGTCTTGGAAAACCATTTTTAAAATGTGTATGTATTTATATGCGTGTGTATGTACACACACACACACACACAAATAACAATAAGTATATAGATGCATAAATATATAAACAAACAAATACTGGATCCTGCATCCCAGAAACACCCTTTTCTCTTTTTGAGTCTGTTTTCACCTGGACCTTTCAACAACCTAACTAGACACAGCAAGACGATCCTGCCTACTTGGCTTGGATTTTCCCTGCCTTCTTCTATCCCTTTCTCAGCCACATCCTTAGCTTGCTTTAGATAGATGGGTGGATAGACAGACAGACAGACAGATAGACAATCAACCAATCTTTGTATGGTTTTGAGTTTAATGGTTGGTTTTGTGGTATTTATTTAGGCAGGTCTCAATTAGGTACCCCTAGCTGGCCTGGAACTCACTATGCACAGCAGGTTGCCTGCATTGGTATTAAAACCTTACTCAACCAGGTCTGTCTTTTGTTTGTGTTTTGAGACAGAGTTTCCTATTTAGCTCAGGCTAGCCTTGAACTTCTGACCCTCCTGCCTCCACCTCACAGGGCTTCAGAATAGTACCATGACGCAAGGCCCAGTCTAATGTTCTAACATATCGCCTGTCTTCCAGCTAGAATGTAAGGTCTCTGTTGTATCCCAAACATGCAGAGTGTGTCACGTCACAGACATACCACACATGTGGATCAAGGAAACTCCATGGTGGTTCACCTTTTTATTGTTCTTTGGATTGTTTTTTTCGTGACAGGGTATCTCTGTGTAGTCTTGACTGTCCTGGAACTCAGAAGATTGCAGGTTAAGCAGAACTGTTTCAGAGTGGTGTTAAGGCAAGAAATCCAGAATTGCTGACATTCTAATGCTAAGACTCCAAGAAAGACAAGCGATGTTCAGAGGTGACTAATCCTTGCCTAAGTTCCTTAGCTGAGGTTGTGTGTAGATGAAAACAGATGTCAATAAATGTTAATAATTGTTAGTAATGCTTGTGGTTGTGATTAACTCGTAATGAAGAGCTTGATTTATTTATTTATTTTGAGAAAGTATCATCACCTAGGAAAAAAATACACCCCTGGGACAATTTAAGTATTCCCCAGGGACACTGGCTTATTGAAACAGGAGACTGTCACTGAAGCAAGCCTTTACGGTCTCTGCATTATTGGAGAGATAAACCTGCCCCCAGGCGTTCTATGAACTCAGCTGACATCTTCCTTTAGGGCTCTGGTTGGAAGGAGTCTCCTGGGTCCTTCCCTGACTGACTTAGTCCCAGAACCTCAGAGGGAGCAGAGACGTTTCCATAGTGACTGGAATGTGCTGCTCAGGAGAGCAAGCCCAGGCATCCACTCTGGTTGTGGATTATGAATAATAAAATCAGAGTGGTCCCATGGCAGCTTTGCTCCGAGGTGGACTCCAACCTGTGCCCGACCCAGTCATAAGAAAAGGAAGCTGCACATTTTCATGGCTCCAAATAAACACAGCCTGTTCAGGCCATCTGGTGGCCTGGATTCTGCAAGAGGTGGGAGTAGGGGGTGTGGGGGAGGGAAAGAGACAAGTTGCCCTGGGGCGGGGAGGAGAGCAGCTGGCCTGCTCTTCTCACTGGCTGCTGCCAAGAACCATTCAGTACTGGGGAAAGGAGGATGCTGGGAAGAAAAACAGGATAGGTGAGCACTAAGTGGGGTGTGGTAGAGCATGCTTGTAATGGGAGGCTGAGGCAGGAGGACCACCATGAGTTTGAGGCCAGCTTGCATTACACAGTGAGTTTCATGCCAGCCTAGGTTACTTAAGACCTCATGTTAAACAATAACAATGAAAAGGTTGGCACTGAAGGTTGAGAACAGCACCCTTTCTTCCTCTCATTGGTCCACCAAAGGTTGGATGGCCCGAGATGATGTTTCAGGAAGGGGCTATTCACTCAAAATAGGAAAAAAGAAAGGATTAAGAATCAAAGGCCAGTCCTGCAGGCAGAGGGAGTTGTAGACCCAGCCCTGTTCTATAGCTTGTGAGTTGGCATATGACTGCCATCTGAAGGGACCCACAGGATTTTCTTTGTGTGTGCCCTAAGTCAGATGACCTGTTAAAACTCCACGTTGTAGGCATAAGGGACGTTCAGTGAGGTGTAGGGGTATCAGGCCTCAGTTGAAAGACTTCTAATACCGTGTGTGTGTGTGTGTGTGTGTGTGTGTGTGTGTGTGTGATGCTGGGCATGGACCACGAGGGCTTGCACATGCTAGAGAAATACTCTGCCATCAGCTACAGTCCCCAGCCTGAGATGGAATACTTCTGGGTGACCTTGAATGACTCATCTGACCGCCAAGCTTCAGAATGCTGTTCAGTTAATGAGAGCTTTTGTATTTGTCTCATGAAGTCCTGGGGGATTAAACAGACTGGGACCACTTGCCACAGAGCCAGCAAGTCAACACACACAAAAGCCAGCCACGACTCAGAGACACTGCACACAGGCCCCTGGAAGAAGATCTGATAGCTTTTCTCTGCAGCCCTAGGGTAGGAAATCCATTCTGACAAGCTCTCTAGAGCCTTTTTCTTCTCTGGAGGGATGAGCAGCACAGCACATGCTCTGTGGCTTCAATGAATGAGCAAAGCTTCCTTGGAAAGTGCTTCCTTCTCTACCTCCAGTTTCCTGCCTAGTCTCCTAGAAACAGCCTCTGTGTGTGTGCGTGAGTGTGTGTCTGTGTGTGTGTTTGTGTGTACGTGTGTGTCTGTATGTATGTCTGTGTGTTTGTGTGTGTGTGTTTGTGTGTACATGTGTGTCTGTATGTATGTCTCTGTGTGTGTGTTTCTGTGTGTGTGTTTTTTTGTGTGTGTGTATGTATGTATGTCTGTGTGTTTGTGTGTGTTTCTGTGTGTGTGTTTTTGTGTGTGTGTGTCTGTATGTATGTTTGTGTGTCTCTGTGTGTGTTTCTATGTGTATGTGTCTGTATGTGTGTATGTGTGTTTCTGTGTGTGTATGTGTGTATCTGTATGTATGTCTGTGTGTGTGTTTCTGTGTGTGTGTTTCTGTATGTGTCTGTATGTCTGTATGTGTGTGTGTCTGTGTGTGTGTCTGTATGTCTGTATGTGTGTCTGTGTGTGTGTTTCTGTGTGTGTGTATCTGTATGTATGTCTGTGTGTCTGTGTGTTTCTGTTTGTGTGTGTTTCTGTGTGTATGTGTGTGTCTGTATATGTATATATGTGTTTCTGTGTGTATGTGTGTTTGTGACTGTGTGTGTGTCTATGTGTTGTGTGTCTGTGTGTTGTCCTCTGACCTTCTCACGCATGTGTCACATGGAACCATGCAGGCTGTTAGTTGGTGTAATCACCCATTTGGGGCCCAGCTCTGTGTTCTGCACATTGCACCCTCTTCCCTTCCAGAGTTCCATGGAGGCTAAGTGGAGTCTTGATGACAGGCCTCCCAGATGACAAGTTCACAGTGGTGTGTATCGTCCACTCCACACCGTTGGGAGGAAACAGGTCCCTGGGAATGGATGGCAGTTGTGAGCATACTGTGCATGGAATGTAAGTTTTGAGAATATCAGGAGGTAAACGACCCCCTCATTCTTCCTATAAGTGTCTTATGGTCTCAGTGGGCCGCTTCCCAGGGGCTGGTCTGATTTCTCTTTCTTTGTGGCCCCCAGTCTCTTTCCCTCTGCTTATCACTTACTCAACCTTGATGTTGCAACCCAGGAAAACCTTTAAGAAGCCCAGGGTCTGAAAGATGGCTGAGCAAGTAGAGGCACTCACTGCCAAGCCCGATAACCTGTTTGATCCTTGGAACCCACAAGGTGGAAAGACAGAGTCAACTCCTGAAGGCTATCCTATGGCCTCTATATCTAAGCCATGGTATCGGGAAACCCCTTCACATTAATAAATAAAAATAAAAAATGGTGGCTGGGGCTGGATAGATGGCTTAGCAATTAAGAGCATTGGATGCATTTGTAGGAGAGCAGGGTTCAATTCCCAGAATCCCACTAGGGGCTTAAAACTGTAACTCTAGTCCCCATGGATCTGATGCCTTCTCCAGCATCAAGCATCCACACGGTACTCAGACATATGCAAAGGAAAAGTACCCATATATGTTAAAACACACACAGACACACACAGACACACACACACACACAGACACACCACACACACACAGAGGTATCAGGGCCTCTTCTCTGTAATAGCACCGAAGCAAGGAAGAAATCTCCCCTGCCTCCTGCCCCCTGCCCCAGCCTCCCAAGCTAAAGCCAGAGCATAGGTTTTGAGCTCTTAAGACGTTCATGTTGAATGGCTGCCACAGCCACATGTGGCCCATCCATTGCCCATCTTCCAGCAGTCCAGTCATCCTGGGAGAATGTCCTCTGGTGAAACTAAGTTGATCACGAACCATCATCAGCCTCCCTGCCTATGGAGTCAGCCATGAAGAAGACAGAAGTGCCATGGAGTGGTCCTCATGGAAGTCAGGGTTGAGTGCCAGCTTGTACAGACATAGAAGAAGCTGTGTGTGGTTGGTGTTGAGCAAGGTAACACCTTCCAGGTGCACTGAAGGAGGGTATATGTCCAACTGGCTGTTCATCATGGGACTTTGGATGTTGCCGAGCAAAACTGAGCTGGCTAGTTCTACATACATATTTTTTCACAATAAAAAAAAATCATAGGTGAAAACTGTCTAAATAGGTTTGTTTGGAGTTGAAAAGGAGTGTATGGAAAAAGTAAGGCAGAGCCAAGTGTGGTAAACTGCACACCTAAACTCTCAGCACCGTAAAGGCTTAGAAATCTCAACAGCAAGGCCGGCGGGCCTAAGTATCAAGGCCTAGCGCACTTATATATCAAATCCCGCCCCCTGGATTGTTTGACACAAGATTTCCTGGCTATCCTGGAACTCACTTTGTAGACCAAGCTGGCCTCGAACTCACAGAGATCTGCCCACCTCTGCCTCCATGTGACAAAAATCTCAATAACAATAAAGGAACACTGAACAAGAGTCGTCACAGGCATCTCCTATTCTGTGTGATGACACCGAGACCCAAGACTGAGGTAAGGGGACCTTAGGTGTGTCGGGATCAGGGATGAGGGTGGGGACCAAGAGTTCTAGGTCCCTGAAGCCTTCAGAAAGGCATGGCTACCCTAAATGCAGTAAGAAGTGAAGGCCTGGTGTGAGGCACGTGCCTGTAATCCGTGAACATGTGGAGGTCAGAGGACAGCTTTGTGGAGTGGGCTTCTCTCCAACTTTACACGGATTCTGGGGATCAAACTCATGTTATCAGGACTGTGGCAAGAACTTCTACATGGAGAGTCATCTTACCGCAGGCCACTGTGACTTAAAAAAAAAATTACATTTATTTTATACATTTATTTTACATGCCCTAGTGCCAGTGCAGAAGTCAGAGGAGGAGCTTGTTTTACATGTTGAGCCATTTCGTGGGTCCCTCTATGACTTTTTAAAACCTATCTTCTCATCTATTGTATCTACGATCTACACAGATTAAGATAAAAGGGGGTGGGGCAGGGCATAGTGGTGCACTCCTTAAATCCCAGCATTTGGGAAGCAAAGGCCGGTGGATCTCTGAGTTCCAGGCCAGCCTGGTGTACACACTGATACCCTATCTGGGTTTTTTGCTTGTTTGATTGTTTTTAAATGTGTATGAGTGTTTTGCCTGCATGTATATATGTGTACCATGTGCATGCCTGGTGCCTGCAGAAGCCAGACGAAGACATTGGATCCCCTGAAACTGGAGTTACCGATCATTGAGATCCTTTACCTGGATGCTGGCAACCAGGCCCAGGTACTCTGCAAGAACAAAAAGTACTTCTTACTGCTGAGTCGTCTCTTCAGCCCTGAAACTATGTCTTGAAGAAGAAGAAAAAAGAAGGAGGAGGAAGAGGAGGAGGAGGAGGAGGAGGAGGAGAGGCTGGGGGTGTGGCTCAGTGACAGTGTTTGTCTAACAAGCACAAAACCTTGGCTTCAATCCCCAATACCAGAGGAACCGGATATGGTGGCAAATTCCTGTAATCCTAGCACTTGGGAAGTAAAGGCAGTAGAGTCAGAAGTTCCAGGCCACTCTCAGCACTCACCACATAGTGAGGTTGAGTCTAGCTTGACCTCCATGAGATCCTGTCTCCACAAACCACACTCCCCCACGAACTGTTGATCATGAATGCCCTGCCTGATACAGCTTCAGCATCCTGCCCGCATTGTTAGATTACTAGCTTTTATTTATAGTCACTTTGGGGGAAATCTCCCCAAGCCAGAAACTAAACTCTAGGGCAATACAGACACTTTGTGCTTTGTTCAAAAGTGTGCTGGGCATAGCTGGCTCTTCACAGACACAGACTTTTCCAGGGGCTGATTGCAGGCTGTCTAATCATAGGTCCTGAGAAAGCAGAGTGACCTCAAATGTTACACCCCTCATCCACAGTGCCGCACGGCAGGAGGCAACAGGCCCATGAGATGCGGAGATGAAACTATGGACCCTGGGCCACTTTGTGCTTTCAGAATACTGGTGCATTTTTTATTAAAGAAGAGAATAAAGCATTTGTAAATATATTTCTCTCACGTATACTTCAAGGGTGACGCTGACCAGCTGCTACAGAACTGGGGAAGTGAACAGGCCTGAATTCCTCCCCATCCCCAGATGACAGGGACACACAGAGGGTCTGGAGGTGCCCAGCCCCAAAGGACCAAAGGTTCCAAGTCGGGTGAACAGAAGGATCCAGCTGCCAGCTGGCATCACAGTGCCACCGGGAACAGCAGAGCCTCTCCAGGGATGTCAGCCATGCTCAGTAAGAAAGCCCCTTTACCCCTGAGGAGATAAGGCATGATGGTTCCCACTGGGCTCCCAGCACCGAGGCCAGAGTCACAGCCTCCCGCCGGATTGTATGGCTCCTTGGATTTCTAGAATCTTGGGAAGGGTGGCGGAAGGAACCAGAAGCCCTGATGGACTGCTGAGGGCAAGCAGGGGCCCTGGGCATATCTTAGATGATGCTTGAGTTTCTGAAGTTTCAGACTAAAATATTGAACCCCTGACTCAGGTGGGGCCTAAAAAGCTACCCCCCCCCATAGAGGTGGGAACTAAAGAGCAGGCATTCTGTAGAAAGGTGGAAAAGGAGAAATGTCTTCCTCAACTTAAGAACACAACATGAGGGCCCGGCAGTGGTGGCACACGCCTTTAATCCCAGCACTTGGGAGGCAGAGGCAGGAGGATCTCTGAATTGGAGGTCAGCCTGGTCCACAGAGCGAGTTCCAGGACAGCCAGGGCTACACAGAGAAACCCTGTCTCAAAAAACAAACCAAAACAAAAAAAACAGAACAAAACCAGTAAGGATCCTACAGTCCCTGGTGAAGGACAGGAATGAACACTTGGACCTGGGTTGGTGACACAGGACATTCTGAAGGCTACTGATGTGAACTGTCCCGGGGGTAGCCTGAGGAAGAGAGGAGTGGATGAGACATCATGGTCCCTGAGATGGGGGCAGGCGCAGAGAAAGGAAGGGAAGCAAAGGTGGTTCACAGGCTCGGGGGAACTCCCTATCGTCCCAGCTCCTGGAAGGCTTCATGCCCAGAAGGTAATTCCAGGAATGGAACTTGGCTCTGAAAGGAAAGGGACACTACCTGTGTATGGCTGTTGAGGGGCTCCCTCTTCCTCTATTCAGATGGGCTACAGATCTGTGGTGAGCTGAAGACCTTTGCCAGGGCTGGAGGGGGCACATTGGAGCCTGGCTAAAGCTTCCTGCTCTGCAAAGTGGGAGCTATCTGCGCCCTGCTCAGAACGCTAGGAGTGGTACAGCTGGTGCTGAGGGAATGTCAGCCATGACTGGCAAGAAGCAGTGGATGGTCTAGGAGACCCCAGACACCAGCAACGGCTGGCTCTGAGGTTCCCTTTCAAGTGTTTCCAGTTGTGGCAAGGCTTCAGGAGGCCTTGCATTGCAAATCTCTCAGAAAAACAACTTTGGAGGGCAAAGCCAGAAAGGCTTGCAGAAGACCGGGGGGCAATCTGAGGGTGAGGCCTGGGTGTGTGTGTCCAGAAGCTGAGGGCAGAGGGAGCTGAAAAGCCCCCGGGGTCAGTAGCGGGGAGTGTGTTTGGCTTTTAAACTGAGCTGTGCCTTCAAGCTGAAGCAAAGTGGCCAAGGGAGGCAGAACAGGAGAGCCGAGCCACCAGCAGGAAATAGGCTGTGTCCCCAGATCAGAAAGGTCTCCTCGCCCGTGTTCCACCCACCAGCTATGATATCTTGCTGCGTAAAGGGCTTTCTCGCTTGCCAAGAGGGTGCCAGACAGGCATGAGAGGCCCCTCTGGTGGGGAGACAGAGGGAGGGTACAGACCTAGAGAGAGGTCACTTGCTGCTGTGTGTCTTGACTTTGGTGGCGTTGATGTCGGCCTTGGTCTTCTGGATCCTGGCAAAGATCTCTTTGAAGAGTGCCTTGTACTCGGGCTGGCTCTGCTCCAGCCGCTTATCAACAGCCTCCACGTGCTGGCTTAGGCTCTTCTCACCCGCCTTGCCCTCTCCCTGGTTCTCCTCGCCCCCCAGAAGGTCCCTCCATGAGCTGTCCCGGGAGATGGGCCGTGAGGTCTGCACCCCAGCATGGCGCACCCCGGCACCATGCTGCCGGCATTTGCTCAGCAGCTCCTCGTATTTCTCCAGCAGCGCGTGGTACTGCTCATCCACCTCCCTCAGGATAGACATACCGCGCCTGCGCACACTGTTGGCATGCAAAGTAAGGTTGCCAGCATGGCGGCTGGCTGGGTCTTTGGCCACGATGGCATTGAGTGCTGTGTCACTGCAGCTCTTGCGCACCGCGTGGCTGGGGGAAGCTGCGGGCGAGGAGACACCATCCTGGACGTTGGAGTCATCTCCGCTGCCTGGCTGTGGGTCATCAGCCTCAGGGGCCTGAGTGAGGGGCGCCAGCAAAGCCTCGGCCAGGTGCTCATCCCGGGCCAGCAGGTAGGTCTTGGCCTGCTTCATCTGCTGCAGCTCCAGTAACTCGGCCTCCAGCTCCTGCACGCGCAGGCGGCAGCCCTCCATCTCACACAGCTGTCGCTCCAGCTCCGTGTACTCCTGGAGCACCACGGTGTACTCACGTTCTGCTCGCTCCTTGCGCTGGCGTTCCTGGCTCACCTGGGAACGGAGCACCCCAACCAAGGTCTGCAGTCGTTCGTTTTCCTGCTCTAGCGGCCGAGGACCCAGCTCCAGGGAGGAACTGTGTAGGCGGAAGGCATCCTCACATCTGCTGGGGGGAATGGGAGGGGAGCAGGTAGCAGTAGCTGGTCATGGCCAAGGCTCTGGACCAAAGTGTCAAACACTGGGCTCTCTCAGTCACCCCCCCCCCAACCCCTCTAACTCTCGCTCCTGGCTGTGTGTCTGAGGACGATGACCTATACAGATTGACCCAGGATTCTTCCGCACTGGGAGACACAGCGGAGTGTCAGACAAGCAGGCTTCTCATTGACCTACATCTCCAGCCTCACCTTGATCTTCAATTCTTTCTCCAAACTAGAATGGGGATCCATTCCCGCATAACACACATTCTTGGCAAGTGCCTGTACAACTACAGTGCCTAACTCCTAGGTTAGAAATCTTTTCTCATCTCATTAGTAGGCAAAATGCATGCAAATGGCTTGTGTTAGTAACGCCTACGGCTGTCCTTAGCAAGCATCCTGATGGTTTGGACCAGCCGCTGTCCTTCCCAGCCACTGTCCACCGTGCACCTCCCCCTTCATCCCTCAGCCAGCTCCCTTGGGACTCTAAGACAACACTCCAGGGTCCTTGCCTACCGGGGGCTGGTACACAGCTCCTTTAGACAGGGAAAGGTATGGATGGTTCTCCTGCGTTCCCGCTTTTCCCGGCGAACCCGAAGTTGCTCCAGGCCTCGAAGTTGCTCCACCTGAGCCTGTAGCTCCTCCACCTGGGACTGCAGACGCTCGATGGTCTCTGTCAACCTGGAATAGGATGAAGACACGCATGGGAGACATTTTTGATTTTTTTTTTTTTTTAAAAATTGTTAGGGCCGGAGAGATGATTCAGCCACTAAATGCTAGGCTCACAACCAAACTGGTAAGATGTTAAGATTGATTTTTAGGTGTGTGTGTGTATGTTTAGGTGGAGTTGGAGACCCTGGAACTGGTGATTGTGAGCCATTCACTGTGGGTGCTGGGAACCAAACTCTGGGCCCAGATCAACAAGCACTCTTAACCGCTTAGCCATCTCTCTCTCTCATCCCCCTACCCCATCCCCAGCCCCAAAGGTGGAGAGTCTTCAGGAAACACGGATGCCTCCTCACTGTAGCTCGGGGTCCTCATAGACAGAGGATGTAGAGTTAGGGACAGACAGACAACCTAAGGACAGACAGACATCCTCGAGCTTGCTGTCTGGTGTTAAAGTCAGAGAAGGTTCTGCCCTCTCCAGGGACCTGCCCTTCTCCTGTACAGCCAGCTCTGATCCTTTTGTGTCTGTGTACCTGTGTCACATGTGTGTGAGTTCATGCCCAGAGGACAGCTTTGAGCATCACACCTCAACAAGCTATCTGCGTTGGCCTTTTTGAGATGGCTTCCACCAGAACCCAGGGATGGCTGATTCAGCTAGGGCGGGACCCACCCGTTGCCACCTCCCCAGTTTGGGATTCTAAATGCACAGCGTCCTTGTGCCCTACATGTTACCAAGGTGCTTGAGCCCAGGTTCTCAAGCCTGTGCAGCAAGCTTCAGCCACCCTGTTCCCAGCTGCACCCCAGGTCCTTACACACACGGCTCTGTCACTAACACAGTGCACTGCAGGGACACATCTGTGAGGTCACAGAGGGCAGGTCAGGCCTCAAACCGAGTCTGGTGCATAAGTGGCAAATAACCGTAGGTGGGAGGAGTATGGGCCATGTTTCACCTTTGGTTGTGGGGGCTGGAGAGATGGCTCAGTGGTTAGGAGCACTTCTTGTTCTTGCCGAGGACCTGGGTTTGGTTCCCAGTGCCCACACAGTGGCTCACAGCCATTTGTCACTGATGTGCTAGAGGATCCTACTCCTTCTCCTGGCACAGACATACACGCAGGCAAAACACCCACACATATAAAATAGAAATAATCTTAAAATGAGAGGACTGGATGGTGGTGGCGCATGCCTTTAATCCCAGTATTTGGGGGGCAGAGGCAGGCTAACCTCGGTGAGTTCGAAGTCAGGCTGGTCTACATAGAAACTCTGTCTTGGGAAAAAAAAAGGTGGGGGGGGGAGGGAAAGAAGGAAGGACAGACGGGACAGAAGAGTGGTTGTTGTGGGACACATGTTTAAGTAGACACATGTTTAAGTACACACATTTGACAAGGCTGGCCTCATTGCCACCCCAGTCTCTTAAGTCTTGTCTTCTAGGAATGAGGTTCCCCCCACCCAGTCATGTGACACACCCTGGGCCTCTCCCTCACCATCCCAGCCCTCACCCATGGATCTTCTGCTGGGCAGCCTTACTCTCCAACACCAGCCTCTGGTTGGTCAGCTCCAGGTCTCGGGCCGTCAGGTCCAGCTGCTCGTACACTTTGGCGTGTTGCTCGTTCACGAGCCTCAGCGTGTCCAGCTGCTTGGTCAAGTACTGGGGGAGAAGGTAAGGGTGGAAACAGCCTTTACAATGAGGCAGGGACAGATATCGCTGTCTGTCCCTCTACCACTCCTAGGCCAGTTGGCTCTGAGAGGTTTAGGAGCTGAAGACCACAGTGCAGAGGGCTGCCTGCGTTGGGCGGGCAGGTGGTGAACTGTGACGGTAAGTTGCAAGCTGTACAAAGGCACACACAGGCCAAGGCCAGAGGCTCTTGAGAGGTGGGAGACGGCCGGAGGTCCCTCACCTCGATCTCCTGCACCTGCTCCTCGTTGGTGGAGTACATCTGCTGCAGGGACTCCTCCAGCTCTTTGTTCCTCTCCAGCAGGGTCTTCCCGAGCTCCGCTGCTAGGTGCAAGTCTGGGGGTGTGGGTGGGGCAGAGAGCACAGAGTGAGGACATTAGCGCTCCCTCGTTACTACACAAGCCCTAGCATTCATCTGACTGGGATCCAGGTGACTTCAGCGGCACCCTGATGAAGGTTGTTCTCAGCAGCCCCAGTAGGCAGGAGGTAGAAGGCAGGGGCTTAGCCTGTTGTTCTCTTCTCTTCCTTCACGTCTCTGGTTTGGTTTTGTTTGGACCTTACTGTGAAGCTCAGGCTACCCTGGAACTCACGATCCTTTTGCTTCGGCTTCCTGAATGCTGAGATTGTAGACGTGTGCTACAAATCAGCTTGGTATTTCTGATTGATGTTAAAAAAAAAAAAAAAAAGGTGCAGAAAGGTGGAAATCCAACACTCAAAACTTAATTGAGCCGGGTGTGGCCATGCAAAGGCTCTAATCCCAGAACGTGGGAGGCAGAAGCAGGTGGGCCTCTGTGAGTCTGAAGACAGCCAGGGCTATGCACTGTCTCAAAGAGAAAAAAACATGAGGATCTGGAGAGCTGGCTCTTTACTGTTCCTGCGGAGAACCGGAGGAGTTTCGTTTCCAGCAGGCAAGGTTCCCAATCATCTGTAACTCTAGTTTCAGATCAGACACCCTCTTCTAGCTTTCATGGGACACCTGCACACACATCACACACACACACACACACACACACACAAAAAAAACTAAAAAAAAAAACTGGACCAGTGAGATGGCTCAGTGGGGAAAGACAATTACTGCTGAACCTGGACCCTCATTGAGGAAGAACAGAATCAACTCAAGATGCCTTCTGACCTCCACATGTGTGCCCATACACACATATACATGTACACCACACACACACACACACACACACACACACACCACACTGTAATACAAATCCACTTGTGTATACAGAGCTGTATTTTGTCTGTACACTTCTCTAGTGGTGTATCACGGTAGCTTTCTGTGGAAGACCTAGATATGCCACACTATTAGTGGATGTGGAAAATGCTATTGTATTCACGCTCTAAACACCTTTGTCTAAATAACCTTTACCGTTGGGTGTTTAGAGTGTCTTTGAATATTTTCTCTATTAAAATTGAAATGATGGTTCAGGACAGCCAGGACTATACAGAGAAACCCTGTCTCAGAAAAAAACTAAAAAAAAAAAAAAAATTGAAATGATGGGCCAAGTGTGGTATGCATGCCTATTACCCCAGAACTCAGGAAACTGAGGCAGGAGGATCAGGAGTTTGAAGCCAGCCTAGGCTCCATGAAGAGTCTCTCAAAAAACAAACAAATGAAAAACAAAACAAAAACAAAATAAAAACCCAAAACAACAACAGCAACAACAACAAACCCCAACAAACCAGGACTGGTCTGAACTCAGGCACTGGTGTAGCAGGCAGGAAACCTGACGTTCAGTGTCCAGCATGAATCATATGTGGGAGTGCACACCTGTAATCCAGTACTGAGGTACAGGCAGAAGGATCAGGAGTTTGTTCCTTTGATATATATTTGGGTTTGTTCAAGGCCAGCCTGAGTTACGTGAGACCCTGCTTAAAAACAAATAAACCAACAATAAACAACAATGAAACTGTGCCACAGGCCAAAGACCTGGGCCACTCAGGAGGCCGAGGCAAGAGGACCAGAAGTTTGAGGCCAGTTCAGGCAATCCAGAGGTACTGTCTCAAAAACAAAACAAAACAAAACAAAAACAAACAAACAAACAAAAAACAAAAGGCAGGTAAGGATTTGGGCCTGGAGCTCACATGTGTAATCCCAGCAGCTGGGAGGCTGAGGCAGGATTGCACCAAGTTCCATGCCTAGTCAGGATTACAGGGTCTTAAAAACTGGGCTGTAGTGGCCCATGCCTTCAATACCAGCACTCAGGGAGCAGAAGTAAGCGGATCTCTTGAGTTCAAGGCCAACCTGGTCTACAGGGTGAGTTCCAGGACAGCCAGGGCTACGCAGTGAAACCCTGTCTCAAAAAAAACAAAACAAAACAAAACAAAAACTCCCAACCAACCAAAGCAACACCAAAAAAACTTAACACTATGAATGGTACTAGAGAGATGGCTCAGTAATTAAGAGTACTTTCTGTCATTACAGAGGATCTGGGCTCGGTTCCCAGCACCCACATGGCAGCTCACAACTGTTGGTAACCCTAGTCCCAGGGGATCCAATGCCCTCTTCTTACTTCTGTAGGTACTAGGCACTCACATGGGACGCATACATACATGTGGGCGACACACTCATACGCAAAATTTTATAATCTTTGTTTAAAGTCACTAACAGCAAACCGTAGAAGAAGGCTGGGGTCGTAGTTAAGTGATGGAAACAGTAATGTGATTGTCTAGTATGTGTGAGGGTCGGGGATCAGTGACTGAAAAATAAAAGCCAAACTATGATTACCTTCACTGTATTAAACCCTTAGTGCAAATCACTACCTTTTGTGAAAACACTTTCCTAGAAAGCGATTTGTGGGGCAAACAGTGGGCCTATGCGATCCATTCCGCCCAAAGCAGGAAAGCTCTGACTTATTATTATTATTTAACGTTATGAGGCTGTTTGTTACACCAGCCTTCATTCTAGGCTGATGGTGTAAATCTGGACCAAGATTTGTAAGAGCAACTCTTCTGGGGCCAATAAGACACAGTGCTATTTTTATACATAATGATAGTTCTGCCTTCCCTCAAAGACAGATGGGCTTTCTGGTCCCCCTGCCCCCAGCAAGTCTTAGATACATGGTTGTTTCAGCTACATCTCTGCTGTGCAGCAGACAAGCTCGGTGAGGCCTCCCTCTTGGACCCTTATGGAGCAGGGATACTGGATGGGTAGAGAGGACAGAGCATCTTGTAGGTTTCCCTGCGAAAGCCAGAGTGCCCTGATCAGTTACTGCACCCAGACAAAAGGCTAAGTCTTATCAGGAACAAGCCTAGAGTTGCTTCTACAATGATGGTAAATTTTTTTTTCTTTCTTTAAGGATAGAAGATCTTGTAGCTCAGATTGGCCTCAAACTTGCAATGTAGCTGAGGATGGCCTTGAACTCTCATCCTTCTGCCAGTACCTCCTAAATGTTGGCAAGGTGGGGACGTGCTGCAGCATCTGCTTTTACATTGGGGGATCAAACCCAGTGCTTCCTGCATGCTAGGTGGACGCTCTACCAACTGAGTCACATCCCCAGTGACTTTTGTTGTTGTTTTGAGGTACGGTCTCATGTGGTCCAGGTTTTCCTTAATATATAAGCAAAAATGCCTTTAAACACTCTAACCCATTGCCTCTGCCTCCCAAGTACAGGATAGAGACAAGCTCAGAATAGGAGTAATATTTCAAAATAGAGAGAATGGGGCCTCTAGAGCTAAATTAATCAGAGATGTGGGCCTTGTGTCCTGATGTCACTGGGAAGCAGGTCCCTCTAACTAGACTGTAATGACAAAGCCTAGAACAAAAACAGTTTTCCTGAAGGAAACACATCTAAATCAGATACAAACTCCATAGCCTGGGGTAACTTGCCCCATGAAGATGCCAAAAGGTCCAGTCACCTAGTATAAACCTAGTAAGGCAGTTGAGGACATTTGCCTTATGAGTTTCTATACGTTGGGCCAAAGTCTGGAGGCATCTACAAAGCTGTGCAATGTTTGAAGCCCAATGTTTCAATTATTGAATGACAGTCTTGTGATGTATTACGTGCTTGGGATTAACGGGGGTGGGGGGAGGGTAGCTTCGAGGGACCCTCACAGTCTTCTCGATCTGTAACAGGATAGCGATGTTCAGCTCAGCCCTTTCCTAAAGGTTTCAGGCCTCGGTGTTGGCATTTCGTCTAGGCTCCGCCCCACAGTTACCTGGCAACAGCCAGGTATGCCTGACTCACTATAAAAGGGGCTGCTTGCCGCCCCCCTCTCTCCTCTCTCTCTTCTTGCTCCTGCTCCTTACCTTCTCTGGCCCCACTCCCCACTCCCTTCTTTCCTCACAAGCTCATCATGGCCGGCCTCTATCCCCCCACCACCACCCCCCTGCACCGCCTTTCTCTGCCTCTACTAACCCCTCAACTCCCTTCCCCATGCCCTGAATAAACTATTCTATGCTATACTGTCTGTGGCTGGTACCTCAGGGGGAAGATACGCCGCAGCATGGGCCAGCCGAGGCACCCCCTTCCGCCACACCATACCGCGTCTCCACCAAACATATCCTTGGAGTCTCTATCCTTTTATAAAACTCAACACTTGGAACTGTTAGGTGGTCTAGGAAGTAACAATATACCATATACCTGGGTGGCCTGTGACAAGACCCTGCAGCCCAACCAGAATTCAAAGCCAGAGGAATGAGGAAAAGTCAAGGGCAATTTCAACACCATGTTCCTCCTTCCAGACGAGTTGAGATGTATGAATTCTTACTGCCCATAGGCTGGGATCCCAGTGTGGGGGTATACCACACTATGAACAGAAGGACATCGAAGACTGCCTTGCGAAGACAGCGAATGTGACTTGGTCACCTAGTGATCCAGCGATGAAGAAGAAAGGAAGTCAGAACGGACACTGCTTGGGGTGGAGGCGGGAGAAATCACAGGGAAACTGGATCATATTGCAAGCTAAGCTGGTCAGAGCGTCCTGGAGGGAGGATGGGTGGAGTCTAGACTGTGTAGAGCAAAGGACTGAGAAGAACCAAGCACTAGGGAAGGGAGCTTCCGGAAGGATAGTGGCAATTCTGGACTCAGGAGCGGGTGGCCTGGATGCTGGGAAACTTGGAAGCTAGCTGAGCAGGACTCAGGCACAGAGCAACAATAACAAGACTGTTACCGGTCTGATTAGCCGGCAGCGCTGAACCAAGCCAGGAAAGGTACTGAGTCTGCGCTGCCACGCCCCCTGGCCCTAGGGGCTCTCCGGGGTCTTCCCTCAGGGGACTTTTGTGATTATTAGAAGATAATGCCCCAGGGAAAACAAAAGAAGCCCCTCACCCCGAAATCACCCGTTTGGCTGGGGCATCATGGTAAAGCAGGACAGACTCTTGACAGAGAACAGGAAAGGGACAAGGAACAGACCAAGATGAGTTGAGGTGGAAGACACGAGCTGGTGGATCTGGGAGTCTTGCCCCACAGGGCACAGCGTCAAGAACTCAGAAAGGCCTTTGGTGGATGAGCAGGGCGGAGGAGCAGGGTGGAGGAAGGACATCCCTTTCCTTACCAGTCAGCATTCCCAGGGGTGGAGAGGACTCAAGGTCAGGCTAGGCAGGAAGGGAGGTCAGCTCTTAAAATCTGTGACTCAGCAGCCATCCCTCAGCCTGGACAGAGGTGGTGGTGGGGGGCGCAAAGAAAGAGCCGGTGCTTATAGTTAATTCATGACTTTTTCTATTTTTATAGGTGCTCAAGTTAGTGGGTGGAGGGAACCTAGCAAACCTAAGACCCCACCTGTCCTGCCCACCTCCTGCCTCTGGGACAGAGCCACACTAAAGCCAAACACAATCTCTGGGGACAATCTCTTTGAGGAGTGAAGTTGGGGCTTAGCCCAGAGTAAGGGAAAAGAGGCAGGACGGATACTTCATGTGTGGATGAAGAAATCACTCTGTCCTTGGGTCTGGGCAGATGGGAAGGACAGAATTAGGGGACCCTGTACAAAGAGGAACACAAATGGGCCCTCTGACACGACTGTCTTTTAGCAGCCTCTCCACTCCATCACCCAGCTCTCCTGGCCTGCATTCAGAGCTGAGTGGCTAGACTTCCTTTGTCCCCCTACTTCCCTGTCCTTCATTTGGCCCCAGGCCTTGGTTACAAACATCCCTTCTTTCAGCATGCCTTCCTTTCTCCAGCTCAGCCCTTTGCTGAGGCAACTACGCTGTCACACAGTGGTTGCTTTAACTTTCCACTTCTGTCTCCTCCGCTGGAATTCAGGATCAGGAGGGCAGAGATGACATCCCTAGACTCTGGCACAGCCTCTGGCAGGAAGGCCCTCTTTCTTCGTAGAGTGGTTCATTACTGGGTGTCCCTCAGGTTCCTGGGCTCTGTCTATGACTAGAGCTACAGGCCTGATCAGCAGGACCCGAGAAGCAGGGGGTGTTCGGAGCTGTTCCGTCCTGCTGGAATGGCAGGCAGCTTCCGTCCCTTGGCAGAAGCCACACATCTCCCACCCCTACTGCAAGGCTTCTTCCTCCCACATCTGGGCTGGGCATGGTGCCAAGCCTTCATTAGGGGTGCGGGAACTAAATGAGACCGCCATGGTATTAGCATCTGCCTCCCCTAGAGGCTATCTTTGCCAGAAATCAGCTTTTCATCTTTCCTTCTGCGCTAGCCTCTCCCAGGAAGCCATCCCATAATCACTTACACTTAGAGCATACAAGTGGGCCTCCCCCATCAGCCCTTGTGTACCCAGAGGGTCGGGCTGTAACTGCTCAGATCTCAGGATGATGTCTGCTGCTCACATGGGGCCAGTAGGTGTTTACAGAGTAGAAAAGTTTTAGGGGTGGTGACCAGGGCAGAGAAGAGAAGCCGGGGGAGCATGGGGCAGCTCATTGCGTAGCAACATCTAGCTAGCCCAACGCCCTCCACCCTACAGAGCTCTCTCAAGGTTCTGATTCACTGACAAGTACAGGGACAGCCCCTCATCTGCAGGTGAGGCTTGGCTACATTGGGAAGTGGGTCAGGAGACAAAGGCTCCAGGATCCAAGTGTATGCAAACCCAGGGCTCTGGGCCCTGAGGATGGAGACCAGGCCTTCATGGCACACACACTGTGCCAGGCTTGTGTTTTAATACCTCAGAGCTTGCAGGTGACCCTCACCCACAGGGTTTCAGTAAGAACTGGCAGAGAAGAGGATGCGGCCCTGCTACTCCAGCAGGCCTTGGCCTTGACCCTGACCCTCTCAGACCTTCTTGTCAAGACTCCACCTCTCTCAGTGATGCCATTTTAGCCACCTCATCACCAGCTTCTAAACCCCTTCTAGTCAATCTCTAGGTCCTCAGATGAGAGCCACCACAGAAGCGGCTCCCTCTTTCCCCAGGGATGTCATTTGGCAAGAAGTCTGAAATTGCTAAAGGACCCCTCCATATCCTGAGCCACTTGAGTGGAAGCCTCATTCAGGGAAGGACCAGGGAACGACTCTCTCGGGAAGGCAGATTGGAGCCTTCTTCACAGGCATGAGCATGCACCACCCCCTTTCTGGGCAGAGGGAAGCGAGTTGGGGAAACTTTCTGGAAGTCTTAGAGCTCAGAAATTCTGGCCCAGACAGGTGCTGTTGATCTGGAGAGAGATGACTTATCTCAACAAACAGCGCATTCTTAGCAAAAGTACCAGGAATCCCCTGTGGGCCCCAAGACTTCCATTCCACCTTGTACTCGGGCCCCCTAACAATACCCTACCGGGGCACGAGAGTAGTCGCTGCTACTAAAATGAGAAGGGCGATGGATGCCCTGTCAACTGGACACTTTTGCAAGTCTCCCTCCTCCGTCCGAATCTTCCAGGGCAGCGCCCTTCTCGGTCCACGTCCCCATTCTCAAGACGCATCATGCTTTGCTGGGCGCACCAGGTCCAGCCCAGCCCTTTTCTAGGTGACACTACCCAACAATGGAGTAGTGGTCAAGGGTCTCGGGGCACACGCTGTTTCCCTCCCCGCCGCGCTCACCCTGCTCCAGGTCCTGATGGTCGTACCAGGACTCCTCCTCCTCTGCGGAGTAGTCCTCCATCCCCGCGGCTCTCCGCATGGCCCCGCGGGTGGCGGTGGGCGGGCGCTGCGGCAGCTCAGGGCCTGGGCTCACAGCCCGGGACAATGCGGCGGAGGCGGCCCGGGCTTCCGACGTCGCGGGCTCGGGCTGCAGCGCCCCTGCTCCCGCCGCCCGTGATCGCCATCCGCTACCGGCCGTGCGCCCAGCGGGGCCTCTGGCTCCCGCGCTCCCCAGGTCCCGCCGAACTGGGGACACCGGGTGGCGGCGGCACAAAGGGCGGAGGGGTGGGGACTGCAAAGTGGGACGACAGCTGGGACCACCCGGGACCGCCTGCAGGGCTGGGGCGTCAGCAGAGTGCGGGTGCAGCGGCGGGTACCCCTTGCCCGCCTCCGGCCCGCACACCGCCCGGCCCGCGCCGCGACACCCGGAGCCGCCGCTGCATCTCCGCCCGGCCCGCTTACAGCTTCCCAGGCCGCCAGCTTTGAGGGGTGGGGCCTGCCGCCGGAGACCAATCATAAGATGTATGCAAATAAGGGGCGGGTCCGAAGGCGAGGACCTTCCTGGTGTCCTGGTCCGGGAATTGCTGGATCAACGCTCTGTCCTGCTTTTCCTCCACGTCCGACTTTTATTTTCGTTCATCTGGAATTATTTTGTTTGCTTGTCTGTCCTTCTGGCTCTACTGAGAGCAAGGGTCTCTCTGATGTCCGCAGTGGTCCTCACCCGCGGAGAACGTGCTGACCCACTGATATTTTCCATAAACGTTCTTTAAAATGGCATTTAATTACATCTTTAAGAACCTTGAATGGATGTTTGGCTGATGGAACACTCGAAGTCAAGAGTTCTTGCGGAGGATTTGAGTTCGGTTCCCGGCACCCACTTCAAGCAGCTCATAACAGCCTGTAACGCCAGCTCCAGGGAAAATCTGACACCTCTGGCCTCTGTGGGTACTTGTAATCACATCAACTCTCACACGTGGAAAACACACACACAAATTATTAGAAAGAGGGAGGCATAGTGGTTCCCTCGTCTAATAACAGGAGTTGGGAAGCTGAAGCAGGAGGATTGTCATGAGTTCCAGGCCAGACCGTTTTATACTCCTTGTTCCAGGTCAGATTAAGCTACAGTATGGGAGTTTTTCTGTTAATTAAACTAAGCAAAGCTAAACATTACATTAAGGGGATTGAGGAGGTGGCTCGACACATTAAAAGTGCGTACCAGGTTTTCTTTTTTCTTTTTGTTTCTTTCTTTTTTCCTTCCTTCCTTCCTTCCTTCCTTCCTTTCTTTCTTATGTTATTTTATTTTATTTTTTTTTTTGGTTTTTCCAGACAGAGTTTCTCTATGTAGTCCTGGCTCTCCTGGAGCTCACTCTGTAGACCAGGCTGGCCTCGAACTCAGAAATTCACCTGCCTCTGCCTCCCAAGTGCTGGGATTAAAGGCGTGCGGCACCACTGCCCGGCTTTTTTTTTTTTTTTTTTTTTAAAGCAGAGTGGCTTGTGACTTGTTCTTGTAATCCCAGCTCTGGGGGCTGGGGAGCCGAGGTAGATAGCTCAATGGTGGCCAGTCAACCTAGCCTACTTAGGAAGCTTTAGGCCAGTGAAAGGCCTGTTTCAAAAAAAACAGTGTGCACAGCTCCTGAAAAATAACACTTGGAGGTTGTCCTTTGCCCTCTACAGATGCATGAACACACATAAGTGAACACACACACACACACACACACATACACCTTTAAGAACTTGAGTCTTAGGCTGGAGAGACGGCTCAGTGGTTAAGAGTGCTGCCTGCTCTTTCAAGAGGTCCTGAGTTCAATCCCCAGCAACCACATGGTGGCTCACAATCATCTGTAATGGGATCTGATCTTCTGGTGTGTCTGAAGACAGTTACAGTGTACTCACATATAATAAATAATTCTCTTACAAAAAAAAAAAAGAACCTGAGTCTTGGGCTGGAAATCTCTCAACAGTTTAGAGCAGCTATTGCTCTTCCAGAAGACCCGGGAATCCATTCCTCAGATCTATCTGGTGGTTCAGAAACAACTGTAACTCTGTTCCAGGAGATCAGTTCTCCTCTTCTGACCTCCTTGGCACCAGGCAGACACTCATACACATAAATATAAAATAAATAGAGAAATATCGCATTAAAAAAAAGATCCTGAATGTTTAAAACCTGTATGTCTAGAAACAGGCTGGAAGGAATAGAATTTGAGCATGTGTCACTTGTATTCTCCTCTTTCTCTTTAAGGTCTGTTTCTTACCGCTTAACACCCAAATCTGATATCCAGGAACACTCATAAAAGCCATGATTTAATCCACCCAAGCATTTTTTCCCCTTAAAGGAGTTTTCCTAATCCTTTGTAATTTGTTTTTGTTGAGACTCATCATGTGTGAACATTCTTGAGGCACTCAGTATATGCTGTGATATATCCAGAAAAGGGCCTCTTGCCAGAACATGGCAAAACTTGAGGGAAAAGCCAAAGGAAAAGGGCATGTGGCCAGGAGAAAAATGTGTAAAAGACTTGACTGGACGATTTCCAGAAAAAAAAATCCAAATGGTCCAGTTAACATGTGACTAAGGTACAGAGTTTATTTAGTCCTTGGGAAATGCAAATTAAATCCACAATGAGGTCCCCCCATTACCATACTTGGGACCTTAATTGTCTCTCGAAGTTCATGTGTTAAATGCTTCCTTCCCAGTTTGGTGGTGTTGAGAGGTATAGACACATTTGAGAGATAGCCCATACTGTGTGAATACATGTATGTATATGTGTGTATGTGTGTATGTGTGCATGTGTGTATACATGTGTATGTATGTTCGTGTGTATATGTATACATGTGTGTATGTGAGCATATGTGTGCATGTGTGTATATGTGTGTATACATGTATGTGTGTATATGTGTGCATGTGTGTATGTGTGTATGTGTGTATATGCATGTGTGTATGTGTGTATATGCATGTGTGTTTATGCATGTGTGTATGTGTGTGTGCATGTGTATATACACATGTGTATATGTATGAATGCATGTGTGTATGTGTGTACAAGCATGTGTGTATGTGTATATGCATGCATGTGTGTATGTGTGTATATGCAAGTGTGTGCATGTGTGTGTATGTGCATGTGCATGTGTGTGTATGTTTGTATGTGTATGTATGTGTATATGTATATGCATGTGTGTATGTATATGCATGTGTGTGTATGTATATGTATATGCATGTGTGTTATGGGGGGGTCTTTATGTCACTGAGGGTATAACCTGATTGTGGAGCCCCGGCCTCAGCTCCCTTTCTGTGCTGTCTGGTGATGAAATGGATGGTTCTGTTTCTATTATGATGAGCTGATTTGTCATAGTCCTTAAAACGGATCCTGGGCTAAAATCCTCCAAAACTGTGGGATACAATATACTTTTTACAAATCATGGGCTAGCTTTCCATCACTATGACAAAAAGTACTGAAGTTAAAACAACTTATAAGGAAGAAAGGTATGTTTGGCTCAAGGTTCAGTTCGTCATTTCTCACCCTTGCGTCTGTAGTCTAAGTGTGAGAGCACTTAGCAGAGGACCCTAGTCACCTCATGGCAGCCCTAAAGGTTCTACTAGTTCCCACTGGCACCATGGACTGGTGACCCAGCTTTTGTCACAAGGGTCTTTGGGACACTTGGTTGTGTGCTTAGTGACAGAAAGCAGACTGACACGCATGCTCAGCAGAATGGCTGCAACATTTTGTTTTAAATTGAAAAGACAGAAAGTAAATAGCATTGTTAAGAATATTGGCCATCTGGAATGTTCCCTGCTCCTGGAGGGAATGGCATCGAGGCAAACCACCTTAGAAAGTTGCTTGGTAGGGTCAGTAAGATGGCTCAGTAGAGAAAGGTGCTTGCTGCCAAGCCTGATGACCTGAGCTAATGACTGGGTTTTTTTTTCCTTGTTGGTTTTGTTTGTTGTTTCCAGATAGCCCTGTGTAGTCCTGGCTGTGCTGGAACTTGCTGTGTAGACCAGGCTGGCCTCAAACGTACAGAGATCCTTTTGTTTCTGCCTCCCAAGTGCTAGGGTTAAAGGCGTGTGTTAGCACAGCTAGCCTCATGACCTGGATTTGTTGCCTGGGACATACATAGCAGAAAGGGAGAAGCAACTACTGCAAGGTGTCCTCTGACTTCTACACGAGTGCTATGCTACACACCCACACGGATACAGAAACAACAGTACATAGACAGAGGTGGAGAGCTGGCTCTGCAGTTAAGCAGTTAAGGGCACACTGCTCTTCAGTTCCCAGCACCCATGTGTGCTCATAACAGCCTGTAACTCCAGCTCCAGAGAATCTGATGCCCTCTTCTGGACTTTTTGGGCACCTGTACTCAGATGCATCCCCACGCACCCATCACAATACACACAATTAAAATGAAATCTTAATAAAAAGTACAGTATGGGGCTGGAGAGATGGCTCAGTGGTTAAGAGCACTGGCTGCTCTTCCAGAGGTCCTGAGTTCAATTCCCAGCAACCACATGGTGGCTCACAACCATCTATAATAAGATCCGATGCCCTCTTCTGGTGTGTCTGAAAAGAGCAACAGTGTACTCACATACAATAAATAAATCTTAAAAAAAAAAGAGTACAGTATGGAATATTTGTGTAACAGAGTGTATCTATAACAGTACAAATTAAGAAACTCTGGGCAAGAGATGCCAGATACAAAGAACAGATATCTGTATTCATTTCTTCGGTAATAGACTGTCTCAAATAAAGTGGCTTGAACATATACATTTTGGTTTGGTTTTCAAAACAAGGTCTCTCTGTATAGCCCTAGCTGGCTACACAGAGATCTTAGAACTTGCTCTATAGATCAGGCGAGCCTTGAACTCGGGGATCTGCCTACCTCTGCTTGGATTAAAGGCATGGGCCACCACACTCAGCTGAATACCTACAGTTGTGGTTTGTAAGTCTGATGTGGAGGGATGCTGGCAGAACTGTGTCCTTTAATTAGCTTCCTTGCTTTGTCTAGTTTCTAAAGGCCACCCATATGCCTTCGCTGGTGGCTCCTCCCTCAGAGACAGGAACAAGAG